CTCCCCAATCTTTCCTCAAATCATGAGCCCCCGTCAGCGAAAGAAAGCTGAAATGAGCCTTTTTGACCGGCGACCTTGAAAAAAACATACACGTTTGATTTTGATGGTCGCAGTCAAATTTCTTGTGTCAAAATAGATCTAGTATCTTTTGCCACGTTCATGACTGAAAACTGGAGCGCAAATTGATCTAAAGAGCATAGTTGTCGAGGTCAAATTTCGTAGTAGAGTTCTGTGATTATACTGTGTCAAAATGCACCCCGTTCGTGAAAGAAAATCTGGCTGCACTTGACAGAATCAAATGTGTTGCGAGGTTGTGAGTCTGGAGATCGTCAACATAATGAAAGGGAAGATATCGGAACTGTTGAGCCGTGTAACGACATTGTGGAATCAGGCGCCTGTCAGAGTTTGCCCCCAATGTGGAGGTACTGGTATCATCTTAAAGCGTGTACATTTTTGTCTAGCTCTCAATGACAAATTATATACCCATCTGTTATGTTACGACTTACTTGAGTCTTGCAGTAGTAGATCTAGATGGTAGTTGGTGTTGGTGGGGTCCCACCTGCTGGTCGTCTTCTGGTAGTTCTTGGTTAGCCGATGTTACTCGTTTCAGCTTCAGTGAGTGAGTGACTCTTCGATTCCCAGCGGTTTGCCCGAAATCACATGAGGTGTCAGTCACGTGATATGTCCTTTAGGCCAACGTCACAATGTCTATTATAAAGGTGCTTTCAGGCTACATGTCCTATTCTAAAGATGCGCTTAAACGAAGGTATCAGAATTGTTCAGACGTGTCACGACATTGTGGAATCAGGCGCCCGTCAGAGTTTGCCCATAATGTGGAGGTACTGGTATCATCTTAAAGCGTGTACATTCATCTTGCTCTCAATGACAAAGTATATACCCACCAATCTTGAATAAAAGTAGACATCGAAATAATCTGTTATTGAAGGAGGCCGGGGTCGCCTGATTTCAAAGGTAAAATTAGCGAGAAAATGGCCGCCAAGGTTTGGTGATGTCCACAGCTTGAGAGGCCCAGGAAACTGAAAATGTACCTATGTTGTGCCTTTAAGCAATGTCTTTCAGTAAAATCCAGACAGAAATATATTTTAAATGGACGTAAAAGGTGTTGAGCCAAAAAACAACAACAACAACAACAACAACAA